AAAAAACTGTGTATATATTAATATCTTTTAAAATATTATATACATGTATTCTTAGAGTATATATTAATTTTTTATATTCAAAATTAAATCCTTGAAAAACAAAAATTAAAATTTTTAAACGGAGACTAGATTTTAATGACGATACCTAAACTAAAAAGATTCTATAAATCTGTTTTAAAACCTACTCTTTCAAACATTAGAATTATTTTAATGTTTTGAATTGTGATAGTGATTGAAGAGGCGAATTGGCTAACTCTAGCCAGCGATATTAGTCATCTCATCGGAGAAGGCTTCGATGCCGTTATATGCTTGGGAAATAGTTTCGCCCACATGCCTGATACTTTCGATGATCAGAGAGAACAGAGGTATTAAAAATTCGTCATTCTATAGATCATGTTAAGATTAGATTATTTATACTTAAATGCTGGAGCAGTGGCTCTCAGACTATGTTTCGTGAAATCTAAAGATAATTAAAATTAATAAAGTCACAGGTATATTATAGTGTCTTATATAATTTTTTATCTGTATTATTTATAAAATATATTCTATCATTCTAGGCAAGCCTTGACGAACTTTGAGCGTTGTGTAAGACCGGGAGGTTTACTGCTTATCGATCACAGGAATTATGACTATATAATCAATACCGGCGAAACTCCTCCCAAATGCATATATTATAATGTAAGTACCACTAAAGAAAATGCGTGATTATTTATCGTTATCGTTACCGTGCACATAATTTATCGTTATCGTATTAGAAACCTACAACGGCTCTAATTCAACGATTTAATTACAAATGCTAATTCTCGTTCGTTCAGCTAGTTTATCGGAATAAATAATCATCGTCCGTTATTTTGGAAAATTTTACATCAAGAATTTTTCGTGTTACAGAGCGAGCATATGATGGACATCAAAACATCGGTACTCTATGTATCCGGAAAGCCGAAGATCATTACCATGGATTACATGATCGCTCAAGACGAGAAAAATAAAGACAATCTCGAGTACAGTGAATTCCGGCTGTCGTATTACCCTCACAAATTAACAGTTTTCCGTGATATGCTGGCAGAGACATTCAGCCACAGAGCGAAACACATAATCTATGGTGACTTTAAGCCACTCAATGAGATCAAGAATCCCGGGTTTTACATCCACGTGCTGCAAAAATAATTTTAATAAGCGAAGCATGAAGAATCGAATGTGATATCTATTTTTAAACAGTTATCGGTTTTTCGCGGGACAACCAAAAACGTTCCATCACATGAGACTGAATGATATTAGAATGTTGATCAATCTGTTTAGAAACGAGTTGTGTGAATTATTTCTCGATTAAGATGAAATGTTTTTTTATCACATATGTAAAAAAAGGCTTTATTCAATTAAAACTTACTATCTAATAGATTTTATAATCACAAAATCATAAAAACATAAAAACGTGTACTTATATACATAATAAAAATATATATCGACAAAGAAATATACCCTATACACATTCAAATCATCGAACAAATTTTCCACTTTATAAAAAAGAAACGGGAAGAAACAAAATACGACGAAATCTCTATCTAAAAAGAACGTGTTTCGAAATGATACACGCTAGAGTGTAAGTTTTAATATTTTTATTATAAGTCTGAAAGCAGCTTTTTTCAATTGAGTATTCTAGCCAGGCTTCGTTCGATGCTACAATTTGATCTCTCAAGGATATTTTCCAAACGATCGTTGACGATGATTTGCTGGATAATTTTTGGACGAATTTTCGTGCCTTTTTTCTTTTCTCTTTCTTTCGTCTCTCATATTTAAAAAAAAAAATGCGCGAATTTGGGAATAGTAGGAAGACTAAATGTTTGCTGCGCACGAATCGACTGTCTTCTACGTATTTTCGATCTTGCGCTGATCTAGCAACAATGTAATTTCTACGAGAGAACAAAAATCCAACGAATCATTCGGACCCAGCATCGCTGGGTTCATCGCGATTTTCTTCCAAGAATTGACATCCTAACAACCGAGACACGTATATATCATCTGATGTTAGCGTCATCGATCGTCAATGATCGTTTCAACTTAAGATTATCGGCGCAGAAATTGTTCTCGCAAATTCTTACTTAAATCCACCCCGACTTAAATCGCTCCCTTGTCGGGGGTCTCGCGAAGCTTTACAGAGGAGTCTCGTCGCCGCGTGAAGAGTGCCGCGCTATCGTAGAAATCGAACCCCGAGAGATCGTCGTTTATAGATTTAGACTAATTTTGCGCCCGGGGGGAAAAAAACGGAGATATTGAGAGAAAGAGCGTAATGTAAGGAAGAGAAGGCGGATAAATGAAGCTCGAGTCCGTTCGATTTCTTCGATGTACTTTCTGCGACACTTACCGCGCGCACAACTAAGGGGTACTCTTCGGTCCAAGAAATGACTGAGGACAATAATTTACAAGGCCAAGGATTTGTGTTTTACAAGTGCAACGAACTGCCCATATAGAAAAATGGACGAAGTGTTATAGCAAAAATCTTTTCCCTCTTCTATCAATATATTTATATATATATTTATATACGCGTATGTATTTATATATTTATAGTTTTTTTTTTTTTTTCTGTTCAGTACGTGTGTCTGTGTGTAGCTATTTATATGTATATATAGACTCTCCCAATCATTTTCTTTTTCATGAAATTCGCACGGTACCTATCACGGCTTCTTCGATCGTCGTTGCGAACACTGTCGTCGTATCAAATTTTTCCATGTTTAAGGCTCCCGAGATCGCACGTGGCGATCGTAACATGCTACTTGGCGTGTCGCAGCTGTATACGTAATATAACATAATGCTAATATGAATAAATTATGCCGTTTCAAAGCTTATTTTAATCTTTACCATTGCATGATAAAAAAATTATTTGAGATTTGAATATATCGCCACTTCTTTTGTATGATTCTAATTAAAATAAATTTACATGGAAAAAGATGTACATATGATATACGTATCACTGATAAACGCACTAGGTCGCGATAATAAAAATCGATACATTTTATTCTGACGGAACTTTCTTTTACTTCATTTAAAATATAAAACATAATAACAATAATAATATGAGGAACGATATATTAATCTGTTTTTTTCTTTTTTTTTTTTTTTTGGTTATTGATAATTAAAGACAGAGCAAAAGTTTCGCAGCAACTTTCGAATGCAAGCTTGTAACTGCATGCCGTGTAGTAACTTGTAACGAGTCGCGAAAATTGACTTGAAACTTTGTTTCAACGAGCACGTAAGGTCAGGGACGACGACTCGTGTTACAATGTTGTTACTCGAATGATGATTGTTTTGTATTATTGCAAAGTAGCTGATATAAAAAATCGTAATATCGTATTGCATTTATATTCTCTCGATTTTACTTCCAATGACAATCTGCCCAATGAAAGCTGCACAGTCACAAGATGATCAATCTCTCACAAAGAGAACATAACTATTTTTTGACATTTTTAAGTATTATAAATGTCGCACTTATGTATACTTTTCACATCTTTACTATATTTTCTGTATGATTTCTATCGCGTAAAATTAAATTAAAAAATATAAATTGAGCGAAAATTATTGCCGCAAGTGACGATAGTGAAATTAAGATGTATTTGGTCAGGGCAGATCGCGCGAACAGAGAGAATTATTTCTTTTTACAACTATATTCACTTATTGTTATGTACGCCTTTTCTTGCTTCCCTCTCGCCATTTGTTCCTACAAAACTGTGCGCAATATTTAACGAGCAATCCTTCATCGGATTTTATACTTTTATCTGAGATATATAGATTGCTTATGTATTTAGTATTTATGGAAAGCTGCGGTATCACATATGCCCTATTAAGGACTTAACAAAATTAATTTAATTAGTCTTGAAGAGCACACTGGAGGCAGACAACAATTTTCATTTCTAGTTCATTTAAATGTCAGTAGCTCTGTCGATGACTAATGCAGCTTCATAAAGTTTCAATATTTTAAGAGCGACCGTATTTGTTTTATTCTAACATATTAATTCCTTAAATATTCATCATCTTTATTTAATTACGCCAGATTTTACATTGTAGACTCGCATGTGATCTTCAAGGTTAACAGGAATTATCATTTCTGACTTATCGAAGGTGATATTGCTTCGTTAAATTCTGCCACGCATTAATATCACGGATTAATTAGCAAACTCTCATTCACATATAATTGAAGTTTCATAAATACGCGTCTTCTTTCTTCTTCCGTTACCGCAAACCTCGTGTCGTTGTTCCAGTATGAAATATGTATCTATTACTTGCAGTTCGTTGGATCGTACCATGCCGTATATCTCGCGGTGAAGAAATAGAAGTCGCGAAAAGTTTCGAATAGACCGGCCTTTCGATCAATGAACGACAATCTTTTAAGCAATGAGGTGCGGGATTAAAGCCATTTGGGCTCGCATCGCGTACGTTTCCATGCTTCGTGCAGATTTCACGCATCTCTCCACCGTGACGGAGATAAAAGGCAGCTGTAATTGACAAGAGTTGGGTTTTCTTCAGCTTCTTCGAAAAAAGAAAATTTATTAAAACTACTTCAATATTATTACGATATAATTATTTAAATATTTCGCGAATCTTAATGCTTTTTTTTTCTTTTTTTAAGACAGGAAAAAAATTAAGTTGTTCGATTCTGATAATCGATCGATATTTTATCGACTAAAATTTCTGTTGATATTAAAAATATCTCAAAATTATATAAAGTTTGACTGATTCTACGACAAACGAGTTATATTCGATTATGTAGATTTCGATCGTTTTAAATACGTCGAGATATGCTCCAGTCATCGAAACGCACGGATGACGATCCCGTATTCTATGAATCGTATCAATGTGTGTTGCATTCTCATTTTTGACGAGATTTATAATTAAATTGCAGAAAAATCGAGCATTTCAGCCCGTAATATGATCCACGCGATATGATCTGGGTCATGAAAAAATCTTGTCAGCGCTTTTTCAACATGATCAACGCGCGATAGACGTCAACTTAATCACTACAGTTTCAACAATGTTAAACCTTTTTTTTCTCTCTGCATATAAGTATATAAACTACGATAGAGCCAGCTGTATCGTTTCTGTCTCTAAAATCTACTTAACAAAGTCTTCGTAACTGTTCGATAGTTTATCTTTCGTAACATGAAATTATATATATATATATATATATGTATATATGTATCTCTATATTTATTTTCTTCTCTCTTATTATATTTATATATATACACGCATATATGTATATATATATGCGCGTATATGTGTGTTTGTATATGTATGTATACATAATATATGCGTATATCTCTGTTGTACGCATCTCTGCATTGCATCTATACTTTCGATTTGATCAAATGTTGTCTGTGATGAGAATTCGCGCCTTTGCTCTTCGCATGGTCATTTGAGAATGGAATAATACTGACTTTCTCTCTATCGCGTTGCATACAAAAAATAGAAATCAAATAAAAAATTTAATTGAAGTGTAAGACACTTGGTGTGACACTTATCGATACAAACTAATCATTTTTCTAATTTTTGTAACAGAACTCCAAATTGCGAATAATTCGGAGATTTGTTTGCTTCGATTTGATATAAGCTTAAAAAGACATTGTGATTGTCGGCTCATTCAATTATTAGCAAAGACGCCATTCTCGTTTGCAGTAACAGCAGCAGCAGCATGTTTCATCACGTTTGTATGACCCATAATTAAATGCAAATATATATACATATATCATATTACAAGATATATACATCTAATATTGCTGTTTGGCTTCGTATGCATGTCATACGAATTTGCGTAGCGCCATTTCTGTGTAACAGTACTATTTGCACGAGAAATTGTTTTTCTCGATATTATTTAACGTTTTCGTTTCAACTTGACGAGCGAATTTTTAAATTCTTTTTAAATTCCTTTTCGTAGCCATTCGTAATTACTCGTCACATTAAATACGAAAATATTAAATCAGCAAACAAATAATAATTAAATAACAAGAAATATATAAAATGTTAACAGAAGTTATAAACGTCACTAGAAATATTTTTTCATAATTTATGATTCCAACATAATACGCGCGAATATGTTATAGAAAATAATATTCTAAAATCTTGCAATAAATAATGTAACTTATAAAAATTATTCAACTTCAAGCAAAATCAATTCGAAATTGATTCGGTTTCAATCGAAACCGTCTAAATCAGGTATTTGCAATACCCAATACACACACAGATCGCGTTCTATCTTGGATAGAACGAGATGATTATATTTGCAATTCCATTGATTGTTTATCGAGTATGACAAACGATTATTTTGATTAATATTTGATTTGGCTGTTTCGTTCTAATTATTCAGCATCACATTCGGAGTAGTCCCGTTTAATATATTCAAAGTGAAAAGAACAGAAAAGAACAAACGCAAGTGTACATTTGTATTTAAAAATCGAAGATCTCACAACCAAGATGAATTACTTAACGTCGGTAGTGTCCAAATCACGTGTCGAAATTGACTGATTTTTCTTCAAAGGGAATTATATCGGCGTGAAATAAAGCCTTTATTTTATTATTTTGCTATTTGTCTTTATCTTATTGTTACTGTAATAAATGTTTTCGATGTCTTAGAATCTAAAAGATCTGAGATGATATCTGTTAAGAATTAGAATATTTGGCCAATTTGGACTATGCGTTTTTAACAATCCGGTTGGACACCACCATTATATCACCCGGATTCATTGACTTAATAATTACAAAATGCCACACTATACCTCGTCAAGAGAGACACTGATTTAATGTCGTGAACCGATCGTGGCCGAAGAGGCTTAGAAATTTAGCATGATCGCCATGAAAGAGAGAGAGAAAGAGAAAGAGAGAGAGAGAGAGAAAGAGATGCTACTGCAAAGTTCGCTACGCAATGCGTGTGAATCTATATCTATTTATGTGTGTGTATGTGTATATGTGCGTGTATGTGTATGTGATACATACTCCCTGTAGTGAATACACTCCCTCGGAGAGTTTCGATGTGTCTCGAAGAAGCCGTCGTAAGCAAATAATTTCGTATTTAAGACAGCATTTATTTATCGTTTATTTATCGCTTTTGGCCATGCAGAATTACACTTTATTTCGCTCGAAACGAAATCTTTTCATTCTCTTTCTCTCCGCTCGTCTTGAAAAGCGATTAGCGCGAAAATACGGAGTTCTTCTCATTAACTATTTAAATATGTATATATTATCAGATGTTACCTTTATAAACAAAATTATCGACACGTTGTATTTGTCCGCCACTCGGCGAGAAGCAGAGAGTCAATTTACACGATATTTCAGTCCTGCTACTGGAGAGATCCAGACCACGTGTCACGTAAGATGACCGACAGTTTCCAAATCTTCCAAGCCGCACCGAAACGATGATTCGCCGTCATGGCATGTCATCTCGCACATGTACACACAAACGAAAGAGTAACGAAACAGTAGTTATTGTTCAATGTAGCATATAGCTTTAGAATAAGATAATCGCGGCAAACTCGCGTTCTTGCGTGATTAAATGCTGAACTAACAAGCGTATCGGACGATGAATCTTTGACCGCGTCGCGGCGAATTGTTTTGAAAAAAAGAGGAGAAAAGGAAATAATGCGACGCGAGAAGAACTTTCACAAATACTCTCTCGGTCTGGGTGGCGGTCTTTTACGTTCGGACCTCTCGGCGGTCCGGTCAGTGGTACTCCTGTCGGTCGGTCCACCCCCGGTTGAGTCCCGGTCATCGGTGCACTCGAGCATCTGCGTGGTCTCCGTGACTTCCGTTGGGCTCATCGGCTGCGTGGCGAGCGGTGCGAGCGGCGCCGCGCCTTTGTTGCGCGATTTGCTGCGTCGCTTGCGCAGGATCAGCGGCCCCAGAGCGTTAGAGTCGTCGCCGCGCGACGTGGAGGCCTGCGTCAGCCGCTCCAGCAGTTCCTTGTTCACATCCCGCGATGATGACGACGACTGATGGTGATGGTGATGATGATGGTGATGCTCCTGCCCGCTCTTGGACACGCGCTCTGTCGCCGTCGATTGCTCCCGGTAGCCCTCGCTTGGCGTCGTCGACGTTGACGTGGTGGCGATCGACGGTTTGTATTCGGCAGTCTGTGTCGCAGATTGGATCAATGTCACCGAACTCGGGGTGACGGGCGGTTGATTCTGGATACCACCGTTGCCGCCCAGGGCAAAGTTCCCGGAGATCTTCTGAGATTGCTGAGAAGCGCCACTGGATGACGGTGTTCCCGCGGCTGGTAACCTGTTCATCAGCGCCTGCAGCATGTCCTCGATCTTGGCAAGCCGTTGATTCACCCTCTGCACCTCCAACTTCAGGTCCACCTTCACTTCTAGCACTGCCGCGAGAATCTCTCGCTCGTGGCTCGGCTGATGCGTGATCAAACCACCATCGTAGCTCTCCAGGCGTCGTAGCTGCAGCTGCTTCGAGTCCACGGCGAGGGTCTGCTGTTGTTGTTGTATCTGCTGTTGCTGAGCTTCCTTCGGATTTTCAACGTTATCGCTGGCCTCCTCAATCGTGCCTCCCAACTTGCCAAGCTTCGGGAAGACTTTGTTGGTGGCGACGCTGGAACTTGGACGCGAGTCTCTTGCGCTGAGAGACCGCTTGAACGTGTCACCAGCCGTGCCCGATTCGCTGCCGGAGTCTAAACTCGAGCTACCTGCAGCATTATAAATTTTTTGAATCTAGAAAGTTTTTTCAATTAGCTTGCTTCAAATGTCGAAATGTTTCTTAATAACGAGTTATTATTACACAATTTTTTTCAATAAAAAGATTCATATAAATTACACAACTCAATAATTGAATTAATCGTATCTAATTAAGATTCAGAGAGATTATTTCTCTTACCTAATAAACGGCCCCATTTGCCTGGCCGCGTTTTCGCGACGTTTGTACCTCCTTCCTCGGCGACGGATGGCTTCCTAGCATGTGACGTTTCGCCATCCTTGGCATCCTTACCATCGCCCTTTTCCACATCGGCAGTGTGTCTCTCTCGGCGAAATCTACACGGAGTAATCGAAAGAGAAAAGATTTGCCTTTACTTTCCAATATAAAAAACTTGCAGAACGTGTTTACAAATACGAAGGAGATGATACAATAAAAAAGGCTGATTATTATTCCTTAGATATTTGGACCAGGGCAGCAAGAGTACAAATGCATATAGAGGGTCAAAAGTGTGGCAAAGGAGTGCATTGGACCATTCTCACGTGAAAAACCTGATTACATCTATTGTTTTCTCTTTTCTTTTTTCTTCTTCTATCATTATTCGTCACGTTTCGTTTTCCCTTTCGGTCCGCGATTAAATCTACGGTGCATCCCCGAACTAGATCGGTGGATTATAAAGCTAATCGGGGTTATCGCCGTAGCGCAGATGCGATCGTCTACTATCGACGATTATATAAAGGAAGGCAGCTCCGGTTACTGGTTGGTGGTCCTATTGGAACGACCTACGTTGGTGCGACGTGTCTACGGGATCCACGGTGGTGATAGACGACGTTTGGCAAGAGCATAAGGAAAACGGAGAACGTTGGTGAACGCCGACGGTGATAATTTCGCCCAACTTATCGTGGAAAAAGTTTTTGACAGGAACAGTTATATAAAATTGATGAGTTCACCAAGTAATAATTTTCCCTAAGGAAAACAGATATCGAGTAGTACATTTTAAGAATAATAACCGAACAGTTATAGTTCTTCTCTCGAGCAATCAGAACACGTTCTTGTATTGCCATAATGTTCGAATCACCGGAGCTTAAGCGGCTTGCGCTAAAATTATCTAGGCTTCTCACGTATCGAAACTTTTAATTCGCCTGAAATCACCGGGATTACGATCCCGTAATACAAAATCTTAAGAAAGGCTTTCGGTAAATCTTGTACTTTTTCTGAGCTTATCATTGATCCGTAATAACAGCCAACACCATAATGCTTCACTTTTCCATCAGATTTTGTAAAATGCATGACGATGCTCCTGACAATTGAAAATACTATAAAAGTACACAAATTGAAAGTATTATGTTTGTAAAAAGCTTTTCGACATAAAGTATAATTGTATATAATTGTACAACGTTTTTAATAAATAACTCGCGTATTTACTATATATTCAAAAATTACAGACTATTTCATAACATAATAAATCTCTCTATATGTAACATAGAGTTATATTAATAATTTAGTTATAATATACTTATATCGCTAAAATTATCTAGGCTTCTCACGTATCGAAACTTTTAATTCGCCTGAAATCACCGGGATTACGATCCCGTAATACAAAATCTTAAGAAAGGCTTTCGGTAAATCTTGTACTTTTTCTGAGCTTATCATTGATCCGTAATAACAGCCAACACCATAATGCTTCACTTTTCCATCAGATTTTGTAAAATGCATGACGATGCTCCTGACAATTGAAAATACTATAAAAGTACACAAATTGAAAGTATTATGTTTGTAAAAAGCTTTTCGACATAAAGTATAATTATATAACATAGAGTTATAATATATAACATAGAGTTATATTAATAATTTAGTTATAATATACTTATATTAATAATTTTCAACTACATTCGTTTTTCTACATAAAAAAAAATGATCGGTGTCAGATTAATTA